CCCCCACCTTCCCTCTGAGATTCGTCAGTCTGATCCATGCTTCCATGTCACTGAATCTATTTTGTTCATCAGTTTATTAAGTTCTTTAGATTGCACATATATGTGAAATCATGTGATATTTGTCTTTCTCTGCCTGGTTTATTTTGCTTAGCATAATATTCTCCAGGTCCATCCATACTGTCCCAAAGGGTACGAGATCCTTCTTTACGGCTGCATGGTATTCCATGGTGTAAATGTACCACAGCTTTTTATCCACTCATCTACTGATGGGCATTTGGGCTATTTCCAGATCTTAGCCATTGTAAATTGTGCTGCTGTGAACATTGGGGTGGATATATTCTTTCTGATTAGTGTTTCAGGATTCTTAGGATATATTCCTAGAAGTGGGATCACTGGGTCAAAAGACAGTTCCATTTTTAATTTTTTAAGGGACCTCCATACTGTTTTCCATAGTGGCTGCCCCAGTCTGCATTCCCACCAGCAGTGTACCAGGGTTCCCCTTTCTCCACACCCTCGCCAGCACGTGTCGTTTGTTGATTTGTTTATGGCAGCCATTCTGACAGGTGTGAAGTGATACCTCTTTGTGGTTTTAATTTGCATCTCTCTGATGATTATCACTGTTGAGCATTTTTTCATGTCTCTTGGCCATCTGTATGTCCTCTTTGGAGAAGTGTCTATTCAGGTCCTTTGCCCATTTTTTAATGGGATTGTTTGTCTTCCTCTTGTGGAGTTGTATGAGTTCTTTATACATTTTGGAAATTAGTCCCTTATCAGATGCATCCTTGGCAAATATGTTCTCCCATACCGTGGGGTTCCTTTGCATTTTGAGGCTGATTTCTTTTGCTGTGCAGAAGCTTTTCAATTTGATGCAGTCCCATTTGTTTATTTTTTCTTTTGTTTCTCTTGCCCTAGGTCATGTATCAGTGAAAATTCCACTACACGAGATATCTGTGACTTTACTGCTTAAGTTTTCTTCCAGGATTTTTATGGTTTCATGACTTACATATTTAAGTCTTTTATCCATTCTGAATTTATTCTTCTGTATGGAGTATGTTGGTGATCGTTTCATTTTTTTACATGTATCTGTACAATTTTCCCAACACCATTTATTGAAGAGACTGTCTTTACTCCATTGTATGCGCTTGCCTCCTTTGTCAAATATTGATTGACCATAATGGCATGGGTCTATTTCTGGGGTCTCTGTTCTGTTCCATTGATCTATATGTCTGTTGTTGTACCAATACCAGGCTGTTTTGATTACAGTGGCTTTGTAATAGTTTGACACCCTGTAAAGCGGTCCCTCCAACTCTATTCTTCTTTCTCAAGATTGCTACCACTACTCGGGGTCTCTTTTGGTTCCAGATAAAATTTTGGAATATTTGTTCTAGCTCTTATGAAATATACTGTTGGTATTTTAATGGGAATTGCATTGAATCTATAGATTGCTTTGGGTAGTATGGACATTTTAATGATATTAATTCTTCCAATCTATGAACACGGTATATTCTTCCACTTGTTTATATCTTCCTCTGTTTCCTTTTTCAGTGTCCAGTAGTTTTCCGAGTACAGGTCTTTTACATCCTTAGTTAAGTTTATTCCAAGGTATCTTATTTTTTTAGTTGCAATGATAAATGGTATTTTTTTTAGTGTCTCTTTCTGAGAGTTCATTGTTGGTGTATAAAAATGCCTTCAATTTTCAGATGTTAATTTTGTATCCAGCTACCTTGCCAAATTCACTTATCAAATCTAGTAGTACTTCGGTGGAGTCTTTAGGGTTTTCTCTGTACAGTATCATGTCATCTGCAAATGATGACAGTTTTACTCCCTCCTTTCCAATTTGGATACCTTTTATGTTTTCTTCCTGTCTGATGTCTGTGGCTAGGACTTCCAGTACTATGTTGAATAAGAGTGGTGAAAGCAGACAACCCTGTCTTGTTCCTGTTTTTAAGGGAAATGGTTTTAGTTTTTGACCACTGAGTATGATGTTGGCTGTAGGTTTGTCGTATTTCCTAGCTGTATTGACAATATATTCTTTACTCATTTTTTCCTGCTCTTTTTTTCTATACTGTTTTTCTTTTCTACAATAAATAAAATGTCAGTTCTTTCATTTGTTGCCATAGTTATATGCCTATCGATAATTTTTTCACTACCTCTAAGATTAGTTCCCGCATAGCTTCCCCCTTGGAGACATCTCTCTTGAAGTCTCCCATCCTGTTCCAGCCTTGATTGGTTGCTCTCTAGACTTGCTGCACAGCTGGTTTTAAGGCTGCCTCTCTCATCACCCTAATACTTCCATTTACCTCTCTCCTTTTCTTGTATTGATTATTTCTGGACCTCACTGCTCTGTTCTCTTTCTTGAATTCCCCTATCATTTGGGTAGAGCATATCCTCTAACAGTGCCCTGTACAGAATTTAAATTTATTCTTCCATTTTCAGCCTGGTACTTTATTCTTGCCCTTTACTGTGCCTGCAGAACAGAACCTTTCTGGTTCATTTTCTTTATAGTTGGTGGTTGTGGAAGAGCAGGAATCTCCTGGAGGAGGGGCTTGCAGGTGGGGGAATGGATTGTAGAATTGAGGACTCAGTTGTCTGTTTTACTGACATGACTTAACTGTCTTCCCTGCTTTCCCCAGTATTTTGGTGCCTTTACTTCCTACTTCTTTCTTGGGTTAAGTCAAATCAGTTCATTCTTGACACTCTTCTCTGTTAAAAATGAGTTACTAGCTCTTGCCTCTGATTTCTCTTTTCCAAAAATGCCTTGACTGCTTTCATTTGTTTTCTCCTTTCCTATTTCGTCTTTGTTAAAATATACTTTTTAAAATTTCTTTGTGTGTTTGTGTGTCAATACTATATTTTTGTCCTTTTAAAATTTCTTTACTTTGATTTTCATGAGCTTTCAGGAGACAATGGAAGTAAACGTATTTATCAGTCTTCCAGCAACTTAGTAAGCTTGACCTCTCCTCCAATTATACAAATGTAATACTTTTTAAAAGTTAGCACTAAGAAAGAAAAAAAAGGTAGATGAATTTTATTTATGAATACAAATGCATAAATCTTTAACAATTTAACATATCCATATGATATTCCATATACAAAGATGATTCTCAATCAATTTCATTAATAGATGAGAAAAGCTATTGTCAGAAACACAGTTTTTTTAAGAGAATATAATATCTTGGGGAAGCAATCAAAATGTCCAACAGGGAATTTAACTATATGATGGTATATTCATACCATGGAATACTAGGGTTTAAAAGAATGAAATAGAACTTTGTCTACTAACATAAAATGTTTTCTGTAATGTGTGTGGATTTTTGTTGTTGGTTTTCTTTTGTTAATCCTCACATTAGGATATTTTTCCCACTGCTTTTTCAGAGAGAATGGAAAGGAGGGAGGGAGGAGGAGAGAGACATCGATGTGAGAGAGACACATGGACTGGTTGCCTCCCACATGCACCCCAACTGGGGGCGGGGAGCAAATCCAAAGCCCTGCATGCCTTTGACCAGGAATCATACCTGAGACCCTTCAGTGCCTGAGCCAATGCTCTAACCAGAGAGCCACACTGGCCAGGGCAACTATGTGTTTTTAAGTGAACACAGCTGTACAAGGGTCAATATAATTGCAATCTGAAATACATACATGAGAAAGAGACTCAGAAGAGACTTCCTGTCACTGACTGGCTAGTCTCTAGTTTCAAATTAGAGAAATGAACTAGTTCATCTCCAAGGTCCTCCCAGTTCCAAATGTCATGATTCCTTGTCAGCCCTACTGTTTGGAAATAATTATTTTTCCACAGTGAAATTTTGCTGAATTGAATTGTGAGATATCATTAAAAATCCTAAAGAAATGGAGAAGTTGAGGGTAGCTAAGAGTGCCACCAGTTTTTACTAAGTGTTCGTAATTTCAGGCAATTCCTTCATCAGATTCAGGTATCTCTATTTAAGTAACATGGTTTTTTTTAAAAAAACTTATTCTTCAACAGGGAAGTTTGGTTGGTTTAGTGGATTATCCAGATGATGAAGAGGAAGATGAAGAAGAAGAAACATCTCCCAGGAAAAGACCTCGCCTTGGCTCATAAAACCTTTACTGGGGACCCTCCACATGTGGTCTCACTAAAATGCTGCAGCTGTTCAATGAGCTGAAAATCTGAATCTGAAAGCTTTCTCACTTGAACTTACAAATATACAAGGAGTAGCAAAAGACACGCGGTGTTTCAGCTAGGAGCGTTTGCTTCTGTAAAAAACAGGCTTCCCAGGAACTTGATCGCTTGCTAGTAATTAAAGGGTTTGCCTTACAGGCTGTCAAAAAAAAAAGGTTAGTAACCAGAACCTGGGAGACAGCTTCTCAGCAAGGAAGCTCTCAGGTTTGGGGACGGTTTTAGGGGCGGGACAAGGTTGATAAAATAATATTAATGCAGGGTTGCTCCAGGGGGGTGTCGATGTAGAAGCAGTTATAAAACTTCAGTTGAAAACCCAATACTTGTCTAATGGTGCTGGCCATGTTGTTCTTTTAATCAGTTGCCTCTTTTTAAAAGAAATTTTTACAGAAAACAGGTTCAACTATCATAAAAAAAGAAGTCAAGCTGTTGAGACCATTTCTTTGAAGATTTAACAGAAATTCAACCTTTCTATATAGTTGGAGGGAAGTACACCCTGTATTTCAGCACATGTTGCGTTTTCTACACCAGGAATTTTCATATGTATTTTGATGAAAACAAACAAGCTGGATTCAAAATGGACAGTTTTGTTCATGTAACTTTAAAATCAGCACTTTTGGAGATAACAGATGCCAAGAATCAGTACAATAGTATTCCAAAATGACTTTCTGTAGAAACGGAAGTAGATTGAACAGAATGTTTTCAGCTGCCTATCAGTACAATCTTTTGTGGAAGATACTTTGAAGTTACTTTCTGCTTTGTTAGGAAATTTCTGTCTCCAGAGTTGCAGGCAATTTTTAAAGTATAATTTATAAAGACTAACATACAAAGAATAGTGCTGAATTCAGCGGAATTTAATATGTAGAGGCCATTTTGATCCAAGAAGTTATTTCATTGTCAGTATGCAGCACATGAAGCTTTTCCATAAACAAACAAGGGTATAAGTAATACGAAAGCTGCTTTTTTTTTTTTTTTTTTTTTTAAGAGAAAAAGCACATTCCATGTACGTCAATGAACTTAAAATAATAAGTTGAGGCAAACAAGAGGTTTTATTTTTAGAACAAGCAAGTTAACTGTAAATATTTTAATGCTAGTTTGCTCATCTGTGATCTGAGATAATGCTGATAAAAAACATCCCCCAAACTACAGTTTAATGCATTGGGAAAAAAATAAAAAATAGTAATTCCAGCTATAATCTTCAGATCACCCTTGTAATGTGTTATGGGTCCATTTTTCTTGGAATAGCATAAACTAAAGCAGTTTTCCCTGTTTTGGAGATTTTGTAGTTAATTTTAATTTTGGTTATTATTTGGAAAAGATGGGCTGTTTGTGTAGATATGAAGTATAGTTTTTCCATAAAACAGATGTTTATTTTGTATTAAAAATACCACTGTACTTGTTTTACACCATTTGTATACATGTGGTGATATTAATGCTGAACTGTAAAATTCAGGAATTAAAATGTGACCCTGTAATTCTATGATTGTTGTTTTTGTTTGGTTTGTTGTAAATATAAGTTAACTCCATTTGAGATATGTCCATTTTACACTTATCCTTTAAAAGCCAATAAATTATCCATATTTATTATGAACTACTAGGTCATACACCAATCTGAATGAAGGAATTCTAAACAAATGAGGGTCAACTGCACTTTAAATATCACCAGCTTTACTTTTAGAAGGTGCGCCTCTGGCAAAGTCCCAGCACCAAAGCATCATGACATGGGGCTATCACCACCTCTTTGATTACAGGTACATATAATGAAAAAGACTTTCCACCTCATAAAATAAGTGACTTAAGATCACTTAAACCAAGATCAGTAACATTACCATATGAATACATTTTCTTTCAAACAAGTTTACTCTTGACTTTTCCTGGTTAATTTTAAGTTCCAGTAGGAAGTAGTGCCTTTAAGAGTTTCTTTAATTTTCCTTTCTGAAGAACTGCCATGAGTCTTAGACATTTAAATCATCGTTGTCATAGGAACCTTTTCTTATAGCACAAATTGAACTTTTTTTTCAGTTACAGAATAACACTTGGTACACAGGCTCATCCACAATGATATGAGAACAGGACTTAAAATAGCCCTTAAAAGAATAACAAGATTCTACATGTTAGCTGCTCTTAAGTGACTACCCTCAGGCAGATCAGGATTTTTAAATCTTTACCTTCATTCAGTGAAGCAAGCCAGAGTCCACATTTGTATACACAGCCTGAGAGGTTCTCTTAAAATTATATCTGTAAACATGTATCCAATATAAAAACTATTTTTAATAAAAAGTTACATGAAACAGATTTCTGTGTTTTAATCACTAGTTTTTCCTCATGTCCACTAAGTGATAAAAATGTAACAAATGTAAAAGTAATACTGGTTTTCTCTGCAGGTTGAAGATTTGGAACTAAACTAATTTTGGTATCCCTTTTTTAAAAAGTTTATAACTGTACATTTAAGGAAGTAAAATGGAATTATAGGTTAAACCTCGAGTGGTCCATAACTAGAGAAAGGAGGTGCTTTTGGAATGACACAACACGGGAAATTTCTGAAAGAAAAGTCTCTCTTTACTACAGTCTCCAACTGATGATGGTTTCACCTAACAATTTTTTGACTTTATGATGGTGCAGAACCGATAAGCTTTCAGTACAAACCTTATTTCGAATTTTGAATTTCCATCTCTCCCTGGGCTAGTACAGACGGGATGATAGTCTCATGCTGCTGCAGTGAGCTGCGGCTCCATCAGCCACATCGCAAGGATGAACAGCCAGTACCGTAAAGTGTACTATGTTGCCAGTGGTTTTTGATACTGTATTGTTTTCACACCTCTACAAAACACCCATCTGTGTCTCCTGCTTTTAATGGGAAGCAGAGGAAGGCAATTACTCTAGATGAAACTTAAGATAACTGCCCAACTGTAGGCTAGTCTAAGTGTTCTGAGCACATGTAAGGTAGGCAGGGCTAAGCTATCATGTTCAGTAGTTAGGTATATTAGATGCATTTTCAATGGGGTTTATCAGGATGTAACTCCAGTGTAAGTAAAGGAGCATCTGTTTTCCGGTTATCTTAAGCAAACAGACTACAGAAAACCATCCAGAATCCTTTCACATGCAAAAGACCTACACTCAAGGCAGCATTCCCCTTAACAGGCTCAGCTGATTGTTCCTGTTATGTGTTTTAATAGCTTTTCTAGAAAGAGCATTTTTGACACCCCCCACCCATCCATTTTCCAAGTCCTGTTTGCTCCCGCCTCGAATGCAAAGTGCTGAACTCTATTTTACCACTGTCCACGGTAACTCCTCTTACCACTGAATTACCTTACACCTGCTATACCCACACCTACTCTAATATCCCACTCGCCCACAGGGTCCACACAGCAGCCACACATCTTGTTTTAAATGAACATTATGATCATGTAACTTCTCTGCTTTAAAACTTTTCAGTGACTTCCCAGTGCCGTAAAATTTAAAATCCTCCCATTGTCTATAAGAGCCTGCAAATCAGTTCCCCAACCTATCTCCAATTTCATGTTAACCCTCTCCCCTCATTTTATATATACTCCAACCATACCGATGACTCCTTAGTATGTGCTTTATTATTTCCTGCCACAGGATCTGACTGTTGGGGGGGCTTCCCCTTTCTCCCTGCAATTAGCCTTCCAATCAGCTTAAACATTGCTTTCTCAAGGAGGCATGGCCAGCCCTACTTACAACTGCACTTTTTCCGCCTAACATTTTGCTCTTTGGGCCTTCACTAGCCCTATAAAGGCAGAGACACTATGGATCTAGTTGACTACTGTATCTTTAATATTTAGCACAATGCTCAGCAGAAACAATAGGTAACCAAGTTCGAATGAATGAATCAGTTTTCTATACCTTCTCTCTCCAATAAATATTCAGAAATTTATCTTAAACTGGTCAGCATAAGTAGCTGCCTTTTCCTGAAAATGTTTAATAAAACAGTAATAATGAGTTTATATTTGCATTTACAAGCACAAGTATTTGAAACTAACAGGCTCAGTATAAGGATTAAATAATTTATTTTTAAGAAAATTTGAATTTCTGCTAAATTGGTTTTAAATTTACTTATTAATAACTTCTTCTTTAAGTTTCTCTGCAAGCAATCTCCTCTTTAGTAATGTTTGCTTCTCCTCTGCTGTCATTTCTGGTTTCTCTGTCATTTCCTTAAAAAAACAGAAAAAGAAAAAATTGGCTACAGTATAAGATGGGTTCATTTGTCTGAAATTCCCAGCATACTGCTTTGAACAAAGAGCATTTTTAGTGAATAAATTTGTTTTAAAAGTCACACGTGGACTGAGTTCCCTAAATCTCCTCTTTGTGAAAATCTCTTCTTGAGGAAGCCTCTTAGAGGTGGTGGCTGGGATACTAATGCTGCTGTGTGATAAACTGTTTCAAAAGGCTCGGGTAAAACAGGTTGCTGACCCTGAAGCACTCAGAATAGGGCAAGTAAAGAAATAAAAGGTGTGACGACGCTGCCGTCGTTGCTCCCTCACGAAATCCTCATTGCACAAGCACCTCACTTCCTGGAGCCTGGGCAGGCGCCGCACTAGCCGAGGTCAGTATGAACGGTCCGAGCAAGTTCCCCAGGAGGCTTTCTTCCAGGTACCCTGATCCTGAGCCGTCCACCTCCAGACTTACAAACGCTGACATCCCGCCATCAGCCTACCTCGGCCTCCCCGGCGGGCTTTCCCTTCTGCTCCGCATTTTGCATCTGCTTTGCCCTCAAATCCTTTCTCATGGACATCAACTTATCTCTCTTCTGCTTGAGGTAGTGCTCTCGTTGCCGGAGCTCTTCCGTTCCAAGTGTTGATAAATTCTGGGTCAAAAAAATACAGAACTATTTTCAAGTGAAGTCCATATAATAAGTGGCATAGACACCTGACTGAAAAGTAGAAGTTTGAGTTCAAGATCATAACAAAAGCTAAGGATATGACTATTTACATTGCTTGCTCCTAGTACTTTGTCCTTTTGCTCATAGTTCTTAAAAAGTAATGTTTCTTTACTTACTGCTATTGGTCCTTCAGTGCTTGCAAGTTCAAAGCCAGGAATCTTCAGGCCTTTTTGTGGGAGGGAGGAAGTTTCAGGCAACACTTCCAGCTTTCTTGCCAAAGGTTGCACTGACGAATTAGCAAAATGCACTTTCACTTCTGGCAGTAATTAGGAAGAGATCAAGCAGAATATTATAATATTAAGTATTAGGCTAGGTTCATCAAAATGAGCTAGTATTAATACGTTTTTGCTCACATTCATTCAATCAACACACACTGACTCAGTGCTTACACTGTGCCGGGCACTGGGTAAGAACAATAAACATGGTCTTTGTCCTCAAGGACCTCAGTTTCTTACAATGACATTTCAACAAATACCAAACTCCTGCTGTTTGCTCCTATAGCTACAAAAAGATATAATTCTTATCTAAAGATCAGAACTCCACTATAATGTAATACAAGGTTGCCACATAAGCCAAATAGTACTAAAATCTCCTACCAATAATGTAACTGGTTTCTGAACTTTTGCTTGCAGGTAAAAACTGTAAGTGAACCTGTATTTTCAGAATCATTAATGTAACACTATAATTTTTTGTAGCAGAAGAGTAAGTGCCAGTAATATCAATAATTTTTGTTTGTACTACATATTGCAGATAACCATGAACCTACAAAGCATTAAGAAAATGTAAAGATTTTAAAGTAAGTAGAACTTGGAAGCAGATATAACATGAACGCTCAGCACTTTCCAGTTATTTGGTGACTGTGCCATGAGACAGGATTATATGCTAATTGCTTTTCTGGGCCACTTTCTGTTATAAGGTGATACTTTTTTTATTTTTTTTTATTGATTTTAGAGAAAGACAGAAAGCGAGAGAGACAGAGAAACATCATTTGTTGTTCCACTTATTTATGCATTCATTGGTTGATTCTGGCACGTGTCCTTTTTTTTTTAATATATCTTTATTGATTTCAGAGAGAGGAAAGGAGAGGGAGAGAGAGAGAGAGAAATATCAATGATAAGAGAGTCATTGATCAAGCCCACAACCTGGGCGTGTGCCCTGACCGGGAATCGAACCCCGATTGCCTGGATCCTAGGTCGACGCTCAACCACTGAGCCACGCCTGACCAGGCCTGGCATGTGTCCTTACCAGGGATCAACCCACAACCTTGGCACACTGGAACGACACTCTAACCAACTGGGCTACTCATCCAAGGCAAGGTGATTTTTTTAAGAGAACACATTTTCAGTGTAAGTACATGGACTATAAAAGATAGTGGAATGAGCCCAGCAGGGCGTGGCTCAGTGGCTGAGCATCGACCTGGGATGCAGCCGATCAGGGTTCGATTCCCGGTCAGGGCACATGCCCGGGTTGCGGGCTTGATCCCCAGTCAGGGGCATGCAGGAGGCAGCCGATCAATGATTCTCTCATCATTGATGTTTCTATCTATCTCTCTCCCTCTCCTTTCCTCTCTCTGAAAT